AACAAAATTTTTGGAAAAAAAAATTACTTTTGACATAAACAAGTACAAAAAGACCAACCTCAAGTTCTCTATCCGTTTTGAGAACGCGTAGTTCAGCCATGACAGGGTACAGCTTACTGGTGTCGACGTCGAATCTAAATGTTAATTCTTATTATTCTTACTTGAAAAGCGTAAAATCTGTTGTATGATTACTTGACAGATTGTCTGTAACTTCGCAGATGTGAGAAGTGACGTAATTTGCATAAATGTCAAAAAACGTACAATTCTTTGTCGGGGAATGAAGGTGGCTCTAGAATGTTTCCACTATCAGAGTTTTCCGCTCTCTAGAATCAAGTTACATTTACATTTTTCTTCCAAGCAATTCAGTTTGAGCTGGCTGCTTACCAGAAGCAGAACTTTCTTGATATTCAGCCTTCTAATGTGATCACTTATAGTATTTTTTGCCCGGAAATGAACTTCGTCAACCTCATATTTGCTCTTGAAGAAGGATTCATCACTGATCCTGAAATCAGCAGTATTTTGAGCAATTTCTTTACCAAGTTGGCCTATTGAACACCAAAAACTGATCTATTACACACTTGCCATCCCATATAGCATAGCTGGGATCTAAAATGGGTGGGAAAAGACACGATTTCCCTGTGTCTACATCGATCGCACCATAGAAATCGCTTTCGTGAACGCCGAAAGCCCAGAAGAAGTACGATTCCTGAACAAAGCTGCTTTAAAAGGGAACAAATGCTCAAAGTCCGACAACTAAAGTAGGGTAGTTTATGGTATGGGATCTTTTCTTTTTCTTTCCCTTTTGCCTCTTTTTTCAACATTTTCTTTTGGATACGCCATGTACTCGATTATAAGCCGGCATCAATTACTTGATACACAAATGCTGTCTATACAACTACTTGCTTGATCCTGCAGGTGTTCTTAAATAGGACAGAACATAAGGTTGAGTAGTACCTGTCTGAATGGTACTCCGGTTTCATCAGTATTGTAGCGGTTCATATCGCTTCCTCCCCGTAGTAGCACCACACTTCTCGGCGCTACATTCTGGAAAGGTCAGATGAAAGGCTTGAAGTAGATGTCTGGAAGCTCACAATCTCTATTGTTCTCATTCTCCCAACGGTAGTAAGCTTTTGTCATCAAAATGAACAGTAGCCTCGAAAAAATCGACCTTTCAAAATTCTTAACCCGGAATACACCATTTAGCTTGAAAAATATCTACATAGAAAGAAGGGGGGAGGGGGGTGTCTGTAATGACGAATGTTTCTCAAAATTGGCCCAGGTATTATTCATTACGACCTCCTATCGAATACTCCACAGCTCGTTGATCAATCTCTCTGGGGTGACTTTTAAAGAAAGCATATAAAAGAAAAAACCTTCAAAGCTGCGATAAGACGGGTACGATTCTCAGCAAATAACTTTGCTGAGACTTTTAATGTGTTATCACCATAGCTGAATGACATTTGAAGCAGTGACGACAAAGTTCTAAAAAAGTTATCAAGTAATTTAACACTTTTTTAACCGTTTGCCTAGAAAGCACAATGTAAAGCTCTTTTGCAGTGAAACAATTGGTTCGAAGGGCTACACAATGGGGTTATACTGGTTCCGATTGAAGATTCAATGGAAGGCCATAAAAGTCTCTTAAACGAAAAATTGTTTTCAACAGACTTCAAGATAATCTTCATGCTTCTTTTGAAGAAGGAATCAGTCCTTTCTGTACGTTCAAAGCACAAGGGTTTCCGATGTTTCTTTGAACACCAGCACGCATCTTAGGGCATATGTAGGAATTAGTAAGACTCAACTTTGTACGATAAGTCAAGGTATGGGTGGAGGTAATATAGTAAAGAGTAGCGCACTATTACACACGCATTGTCCGGAATTAAATCCCGGTTTGATACTCGTCCGGGCCAAACAATCCTTCTATCCCTCGAAGGTCAGAGGTTGTCTGAGAGGGTGAAAGTTCGTCTTTTATATCGGTTGGCCACCGCGTCACTCAGTGTATGTAGCTGGCACCAACATCCAAATCGCCACTATGGTTCTGTACGGAAATCGAATGCGGGGCGCATCCCAGTCTGGGTTTGTTCAACACCAGAGACTTTGTCATTTTATACTTTTTTGAAAACTAATATACGGGGAACTTCCTAGTTTTCTCCGCCAAAGCATAGAAATCGTGAAAATTGGAATCTCCTGTTACTGTGCCAAACCTTTAAAAATTTCTTGTATTTTTGATAATTAGTACAATATGGAGAACAACACAATGTCTTGATATCGAATGAATAAAACCATATGACATGTCTGCAGTAAAGATCGGCTAATGCTCTTATCAGTTCCTGCGCTCACTGTGGTTGAATGTCAATGAACTGATTATCTGACCACTATCGTATCTCTTGCTTTCAGCGATCAAAAATGATGGTCTCTGATGGGTGTATTTCTGAATCTGAATGTTTTTAATAAAGCTATGATGGCCTGATCAAAGACACCCCGATTCCCAAGTGTTACGTAGTTGGTAGAAGTCGGGGTAGCGACAAGAGCCTACCCTCAATAAGCTTTTAGGAGATCAAATTCTCAGGAGAAAACCGTCCCGGCTGGCCCATCGGTTTGAGTACATGGAATAAATTTATTTTTATCTTTTTTGTCGATAGTTTTCTCATATTTTCATTTTTTAGGTTCCACTAGGTTGGTCGTAGTATGTACTAACGTTAGAATTAATGACTAGTTGAATAAATAAACAGGGCATTGAACAAAAGAAGAACGAAAGTTTGGTGTTAGTCTTTTTCTTTGTGATGCGCTCTGCGCTCGCCTTCGAGACAGAATCCTAGTGGCTTATGCTATGACTAAATAGCCTTTTANTTACAATGGCTTGCGGTTTCTAGCCGATACACAGTTCGGTGCTCTTACCTACTCAAACCAGTATGGTAGTCGCTCCCGAGTAGATGCAATGCTTTTTTGGCCCGGACAAATAGAGATCAGTGGTCCCCGGATCATGCGTGGATGATAGTGCGCCTCTTGCCGCTTCATCATTTCCGCTTAAATAAATATATAATACACCTAGAAGATATGAAGTAATTAAGTAAATAATATCCATATAAACAAGCAATTTAAAATATTAAATTGAATTATCATTTTCTACTACTTGAGTGGACCTTCGTCAATGCGTGGGAAATTTTGAACAAAGTTATGCGAACTGATTATAGGTTTTTTTCTTCATGCGCTTTTTCTCCGATAATTTTTATGCATAATATTCCTTTAAGATCTGTAGTTTCCTATTCTCCAGGCATTGATAAAAGAAGGTGAGTGTGGACAAGCAGTAGCACTTTGTGATCGTATGTGAGCGCTAGCGGATCTTATAACGCTAGCGCTGTCCATCGCCTTTTCAATAAATAAGAAGTTATTGAAGAAGGTTCTACAAGCTCTTAATAACAGCCAGAAAAGGAAATAATAGTTTGAACCTTGCTGATCCCAAGAGTTTAAATGTCCCAAGAGTTCAAATGTCCACTGGTATTCCAACGGAAACAGCCAATCTCATTATTTATACTCAGGTTGTTTCCGATTTGCGAGAGTAATTTTACGATTGCCTTTAGCAACAGCCATAATAACTAGTAAAATCTGGAAAGGCTTCGATTACTCCCAACACTACATGGAGTTGTAAATTGTTATTCATCTGAATGTTTTACTCGAGCTTTTAGCACAACATCGTCAGCCATTACCCGTCGGACCAAGGAATTCCATCACGGTTGAGATCATTTCTTTAAGATCATCATGAGTTCTTTTCCACCTCTGCCCTAGTACAGATACTGGTATCCGGCGGATTGTCACTGCTAGCTCAGCTCAGCTCGTTTTATCTTAATCTTTTTTAGGCT